ATACCGAGACTAAAACAATCATTATCTACAAGAAAATAATATTAGTAAACTAAAACACGATACAAGAAGAATGAGTTGTATGGAAATATGTTTAAAATAAAATACTGCTAAACGGATTTGATTTACTCAAGTGAATGATATACAAGAAAATGAACAAATCATACACTGTCAATAAAGGTTATAGCAGAATCCATAAATATATAAAGTATCCTGATATATTATTATAAAGAAAATAATCTATATAATATACAATACTGATTTCAGTATGTACTTGTGACGCTCTACACGGAGAGTGTTCAAGTTCCATCAGGTGCTGTAAAACTTCTGTTTGAGCACATTGTGTACATAATGTTTGTCCCTTCCTTACTATTTCTTCTGATCTTACATATTGTACTTATCTGTTTGCCTTTACTTCTTACATCATCATTTTGTACATTACTCATATCTTAGTACTCTTCCTTTCTTTTCTTATTACCCTTCTCTTCTGTATTCTTTTCTCTTCTCTGATGGTTGAGTATATAAGCGTATGCTTCGCATGTAAACGAGACACTTCTCAATAGGAAGAAAAACAATAAAGCATAGTTCCATCAGTGCTACCTCTTCTTCTATCTAAAATCGTCACAGTACTCAAGTGTCGAATAAATTATGCAGAAATAATGATGTATTTTTATAAGGAAATTTCAGCTGTTCTATGTAATTGAGAGAGAGAGAGTACAATTCTCTATGAAATTTACTATTTAAAATTTACAAACTTCAATTATCTTCGAAAATTTATTTACAATACGAGCAGATATGAACTTTAAAATTGTATTATATCCTTTAATTTGTAATCTTTAGATTCAACTAGCTTATGAGTCCATCAATCTGTCATGCTCATATATACCAGAAACGTAACTGATCCAAATTTTAATTTTTGAACTTTAGTTTTTTAAAAAATCTGTAAAACGATGCGTCATATTATAGTCGTTTACATCTATTCTAAATCTTAAATTTTGAATTTTCTCCTTCAACCTCTACAGACAAACCTAATATTTCTCTATGAATGACGATGTCAATCTAAACTTAAACTTCAACAAAGCGTGTAACAGTATCAGTTTATCTTATGTAACAAAAGTTTTTATTATATTTTTAAAAAATTGAAATAGGGTCAACGAATCGAAGAAAAGATTGAACACACTCTCAACATTGCAGTGATAGAAGTACTTTATTTTCGTCTATGAAGCTTCAAAAAGTTTTCTCTTAATATATAGTGCTACTAGTAGTAGCAATTTTTTATATTAATGTAACACGTGATCATTCTTCAAATAAAATTAAAATATGATAAAATTTCCATAAGAAATGTTGATTATGATACATAACTATGACATCGGATCATATTATTTTTTATTTAAATACTACATTTACTCGACTGATTATAGATGCGAATGTAAAACAAAAGAATATCGATACATACAACTGGACGAGCAAGAAGTAATATAAATCTTAAAGACAATTCTATCTAGTGTAATCGTCACATATCATAACAAATACTGTTTATGTTAAATTTTCTTTTGATCCTTAAATTCATAGTGGATTAATACAGTTGACATGATGGGGAGACTTTTCAAATTTAAAGTAGGAGTAGTTTTGAGATTGATATATATTTGCGTATTCTGAATTTCGCTCCGAAAATAATGGAGCTAGGAAAATTTTATGTAGTAGATTTGGCAAAGACTTCAATTCCTACCGAATCTGCTTTGTCTAAAATATTCATATATAATGTAAAACAGTGCAAATTGAACCGTAAAAATCTACGATTGTGTGCGTATCAATCTTTAGAAGTCCTACCGTTTATTTTACACCACATTTACTTTTTTTTTAATGATATAAAATAAGGCATCAGAGCATTGAAATACAACAGTTGATAAGATAAGAGAAGTTGTGTTTTAAGAATAAAAGGGTTTTGAGTGTTCTCAATTCTATTACATTTGTTATCTATGTCTTTTTTTGCCTAGAACACCAATTATTACCGATGATTCATAATTTTAAAGAGTTTATTTTTCTGTTACTTTTCGAATTTGTTTCTGCTTTTTGATCTTTACAACAGCAAAAAACATTTTAGGTACTTTTAAGGTTGAATGTAAGACGAAAAAAAAATATTTGCACTCCCTACGCAGAACATGAAATAAACAACGTGTGCATTCATCGACAACAATCATAGACAAAATTATTAAGTTGAAACTTTTTGTTTTTTAGATGGGAAATTTAATACGAAAACCTGGTGAAGATTACATAATTTTATCTGATGATATATTAAATCGTTGTCGTACAAGGGCTGGTTTTAAAGATGATGAAATTCGTAATGAACATAAAAAATTTTTTTCTATTGCTCAAGATGGTCGTTTAAAAAAATCTCATATGGAAAAATTATTGGGTGATTATTTACCAAAAGCAAAAGCTCAACACTCAAAATATTTTAGTGATTGTGTTTTTTCAGCTATTGATACAAATAATGATGGTTATATTGATTTTCTTGAATATTTAATGAGTATAAAATTTTTTCGAACTGAATCACCAATTGAAAAAGCTGATCTTGTATTTCGTATTATGGATACAAATGCTGACAATCAGGTGTCAAAAGAAGAAATTGAACGTTTACTTAAATGTTTACAAGAACTTCATAAATCTTTAACGAATGATCCTGCTATAGATGCAACTAGTGATGGTTCTAAATCAGCAGCTCATGAAATATTTGAAAAATTAGACGAGGATAAATCAGGTTTCATTGGTATATCAGAATTTAAAGATGCTTGGCTTAAAAATGAAACTATTCGAGCTTTATTTAATTTTTAAAATATATACAAGTGACAGTTTCTTATTTTTTTTCTGCACAAAAACCATATAATGGTAGATTTTTTCTTTTTAAATTATTGCTTTAAATAAAATTTTATATTAATATTAATGATCATCTGAGTACATCATACTGATATGAGAATAATAAGGTGAAATCAAATATTCAACAAATCATAAATACAAATAGTTGAATGCCAAATAAGATTGACTAAGTATTTTAAGTGAAAATTGATCTCTATAATGTGCTTTATATTGCTATTCGTATACATGACTTCTGAATATCAAAAGATCAGCAATGTTTTTATATTTGCTAAGAGTTTCAAGATAACATTCTTCATATCTTTAAGCAATCTATTATTCCCTTTTCTGAAAGAAAGGGTTAAATGGCGATAAATATCGCGGTAAAGAGATAAAATAAGTTTGTCTGTCCATCCAATCACAAACGAGCTTTTCCATATTAGGGTTTTTCACTGTTCTGATGACACTGCCGATATCGGTATGGGTATTGTTCTTTTCTTTAGAAAGATACACGCTCACACCCACGCCCTAATGTCTTTTACATTATGTAATAGTTTCTATTTTAACGGAATTTTTTATCTGTTGTTTAGCCCGAAAGAAAGCCTTCTGCTTTTATTCTATGCTTAAATTGAAGATAATTGTAATGTTAAGTTTTCTGCAGTGTCTAATAAAAATAATCTATTAATTTCAAGGTGGTTTATTGATATCTCGAAATGAATAACTCAATGATAAGAAAAAAAGGATGTATGACCAAAGGGGAATGCATATATAAACAGAATCAAAATAGACACACATATACAATAATCATCCTCTCATACCTCTATATACAACTACTCTCGTAGTCAGAGTGGAATGTATAGGAGGATATAAAAGTATCAGGGATGGAGAGGAAAAAAGCACATGAGAATATGATATATCATAGTCGACGGACATGACTACATCAGAAGTATTTCATTTACATTAATATTTATATTAAACTAAAATGTTGATAAATAAAGCAAGAGCAATTTAACATTTTTACATTTTCGTCGAGTAAGAAACTTAAATATCGATAAGTTTCTAATTAAATTACCAATTCAAAAGAAAAATTCTTTTAATGTCTACCAATGTGAATAGCCTTGTAGAGAATAATCATTCTATTGTACACAGTTAGAATAAAGTTATAAATAGTCGTGTATCTTCTCTAATTTAACCATAAGTAGGCTGCATAGATTTCCACTTTAGGTTCGTTTTTTTCCCTAAATATATTCAAACAATGAATAGTATTAGACGTTACTATCAATAACCACAACTTAATATAATAAAACACCATGATGTAACATATTACAGTTCTTAAAATTTAATCGAACTTTGAATATAACTTTATCGTTTTTCTAGATGAATTACATACTAATATTAATTATACTGTTTTTGCACATCAGATGGGTATATGTGTGGATGTGGGTGTTAGCAGATACAGATAACTCACAGTAACAGCCATAGCAAAATACCCACACGCT